TTAGGAAGGTGGATTTAGTCTCAGCTCTCTTACTGAGGTCTAGATAGGCAAGAGCTTAACCTCTTTAAGTAGGTTTCCCCCTTCTCATCAAGAAATATAAAAATTCCTGCTTCACCTGCTACTTTATTTTGGGAGAAGAGGGAGTAGAGAATATCAGGGTAGGGAGACATCAGGAGGGATACTATGAAAGCTTAAGGATCCAATGGAGAAAATATTATGTCAACCTAGATTCCCCAAATTTGAGTTTACAAACTTTAAAAGTATCAACAATGAAAAAAGGTAGGTTCTCTGCTACCCCAGAGGACAGAGTAAATATGTTTTAAGAGTTGAGAAGGAAGGGAAGGGGGTGAGAAATGACACACAAAACCTTATGAAGACTAAAGTCTGGGAGATGAAGAATAATCTGGGAGTCCAGGGCTTTTTGTGATGACTACTTACAGAGAGACAAGGAACAGCAAGACAAAAAAAATATTTGGAGAGAAAAGAGTGGGGTTGAGAAAGGTCTTGTCAGAAGCTGGCTGAATTCCGAAGACTCCAACTTGACTCCTGCTGATGGACTGGCAGAGGGAGGGATGGTCTTATTCCAAACAAATATCATTATCCAATAAAGAAGAAATCAAATGACCACAAAATAACTTGGAAATTAAAAAACAAATGAATTTCTGAATCAAAATTTTCAAATATGTCCAAAGAGCAATGAGAAAAGAAATACACCCTACCAAAACCTATGGGGTACTTGTTCTTAGAGGACACCCTGAGTAAGGACTAAAAAGAAGGGAACTTACACTTATCTTAAGAAATTAACAAAATAAACCAAAAGAAAAGTAGGAAAGGGGGTAGGAAAGAAATGAAGCAATTTCTCAAACAATTTAATAAATATATTCCTCAGGACACTAGGGTGGCTCAGTTGGTTAAGTATCCAAATCTTGATTTTGGCTCAGGTCATGATCTCAGAGTCATGAGATCAGGCTCTTTGCTGAGCCTGCCTGAGATTTTCTTTCTCTCCCTCTCCCTCTAGTTCTACCCCTACTTGTGTGTGCACATGCTGTCTTTCAAATAAATAAAATCTTAAAAAAGGAAAAAAAAAAAGGAATTTGCTTTAAATTTTCTAATTTAAATAAATAATCTAATTTTTTAATTTGAAATAAGTATTACTTAAAGCATTTTTTATGCTCAAAGGTCACCTAGAACAAGGAAATTTTTCTCCTCCTTTCCTGATTTCCACATCATTTTCTGTGTTTTAACGTCTTTATTCATTTTGGTAAATTCTACCCACTTTTTCCATTTCTAGCTTCTGTTGTGCTTTATTTTGTTTTCCAGTCTCTACTGTCCCTTGTGATCCTTCCAATTTCACCTTTATTTCAGTGATGGTTTTATTTTCTTTTTCTTTCTGCTCAGCTTACATTGCATTTTCTCATGCAGTCACACTATCTCTTCCCTGACCTCTTATATATCATTGATTTGTGCTCTCAGTGGTAAATACTTTCAAAAAGTGTTTCAAATTCAGAGCAAAACAGCTGGGCATGATTTTCATTTCCTTTACAGAAATATTTTTTTTCTGTTGAGTATTCTTCAACTCTTCCTTGTTTTTCTGCTTTCTTCCTTTTTGATTCTTGAATGGGGAGGGAGGGGCTTTAAGCTGAAATCCTTTTGATAATTCATCTTTAGAGGTAAGGTTGTTTTGGAAAAGCTATTTGTAAGAGGTTCATGCAGAAGGCTATAGTGGTTCCAATTCCTGACCAGCAAAACTTTGTCTTGATTCAGGGTTTTATAATAGGAGAATCCTGTAGGGTTTTTTGTTTTGTTCTTTTTGTACTTCTCAACAGCCAATGGAGACAGGCAGCCTTGAAGTTTTCACAATGCAAATACATCCCTTCCCCTCCTGCTACAGATAGGGACAAATGCAAAAATGGCTTGTTCCTGTGATTCTTTGTTTGGCTTCCCCTCTTCCTTTGAGTCTGAGAATCAAACCAGGTGCAGGGAAACCCTTGACATTAGCTTAAAAAACCATTTTGCTTTTGCAAACAAGGGATTTAGGCTTTGCATCTCCAGGTGGGCCTCTCAGATTCATGAAGCATCTCTGGCTGGTTCTAAGCTCTGCAGCTGTGGCATCCTCACCCTCCTTCTTCCCAAATGCAACCTGCTTATGCTACTGCTTTTGGCAGCCATTCCACCTATTTTGTGGCCTGGGGTTTTTAGCTTTCTTCTAGTTCAGTGGAATATGGGGCTTGTGTTTTATTTTTTCCCTCTCTTTGTTGTTATTTTGGCTAACTGCCAGAAAGCAGAAGAAAAAAATGCCAGCTTTACTGTACCATCCTCAGACTCAAAACCCAACAATTATGTTAAAAGAATATTTTAGGGACGCCTGGGTGGCTCAGCGGTTGAGCGTCTGCCTTTGGCCCAGGGCGTGATCCTGGAGACCTGGGACAGAGTCCTGCATTGGGCTCCCTGCATGGAGCCTGCTTCCCCCTCTGCCTGTGTCTCTGCCTCTCTCTCTGTGTGTCTCTCAGGAATAAATAAATAAAATCTTTAATAAATAAATAAACAAAAGAATATTTTATACAAGACAGAAACTTGAATGTCTCACTATATTACTGAAAGATAGAGGTGTGCTTTCCTTACTACTTTACGTAAAATACTAATTTTCCACAAAACATTAATTTTTACAGGGCCATTAGCAACTGAGTTGTTTTTATTTTAAAAACTCATGTGTGAAAAAAAAAAAAACTCGTGTGTATTAGTTATAACTAAGGCAGAAAATAATCTGATGTCTAAATATAAAAGATACTTTTCAAGACCCAGGGTCCATTTGGGAAACAAATTATGTATATCCTAATCAGTATACCACAATCTTAGTCCTGGTTTTTAAAGCAGACAAAGCCTTTTTAAAAATAAAGACAATACATAATTTGTCATGTCCAAGTTCCCGGATTTCATTTGGGTTTAAAATGAAGAGATACCTTTACATTGTATATTGATCATTCCCTTAGTACAATTTTAACTCTAGGCAAATTCATTTTCCTGCCAGTTCCTACTCTTCTCCTCGCCATCCACTGTGAGGCATGTACTGAGTGACATGGAAGTTTTACAACTAATTTTTTTTTACAACTAATTTTTTAAAGGAACAAATAATATAGCAAAGCCAAATTAAAGTGGATTTTAAATTACTAGTGTTTAAAATGATTTCTTTTCACACATAAATGTAAACCTGTAAATATTAATATGCCACACAAAAGCTAAGTAATGCCTGGTATAACTTACTAAACATTTAGAGGCACTAGGAGTTTATACTGAAGAAACAAGACCTCTTCCTGGCAGAATTCTAAGTAAGAAATATACATGGAATGACGGGATTTTTAAAAAAATCACCATCTGACAACCACCACAGAATGACAGGATGATACTTTAAAGAAATTTGGCATATATCACCTTAAGTAACCAAAGTCCCATTACCAATAATGGTACAAATATACACCATGCTCTGAGAAGCACTTTGCAATTCCTGCCAAAATACATGACCCAAATCTAACAACAAAGATATATTTGACAGATGTAACTGAAGGATTTCTACATTATAATCGACCTGTATGTACTCTTCAAAAATGTCAAGGCCATAAAAGACATAGAAAGACCAAAGAACTGCCCGGATTAAGACACTGAAGAGAAATGACAACTAAACTCAGTTGTGATCCTGGACTGGATCCTGACCAGAAATAGTTTTGAGTTGTTTTTTTTTTTGTTTTTTGTTTTTTGTTTTTTGTTTTTTTTTTTTTTTTGCTAAATAAGACATTAGGGGGACAATTAATGAAATCTGTCTGTATACAGTAAAATTGTATCTAGTTCACTCAGGAAATACACATTGAAGTATTTAGAGAGCTTTCTGTAATTTTACTCTGGATTCAAATTTGTGTGGAGAGAGAGCATGATAAAGCATATGTGATAAATATTAACATCTGGGGACATACAAGAAGTCTTGTACTATTTTTTACAACACTTCTCTAAGTATGAAATTATTTAGCATCTGAAAGAAAGGGGAAAAACACCTACATAATAAATAAATGAACACGAATAAATGAACATAATAAATGAAAACAAACCCAGTTAAGAGAAACTCTTTATTTTCCCTAATAATAATGCTAGGATCATATTTAATACATTCTAGTCATCAGATCATGACATTTTAGAGCTGTAAGAAAAATGTATTATCTCTCAACAAAACTCCTCCATTTATAGGTGGAAACAGTGAAATTATAGGACCTCCTCAAGATCTTGCCAACTGGTTCAAGGCAGAGCCAAGGCTACTATCCTGCTCTGACTCAGCTCTTTCACATTGCAAGCTGTCTCTTAATACCTTTATACTGTCATCTACTCCCTAAACATGTGATACACCAAAATATTTAGCTCAATCTTCTCTTATATTCTAGTAGGTTAATGTGGCAAACCACTTTCAGATCTAAATCTCATCTTAAAAAGGCATTTAAGTATTACTGCTCCTAAGAATCTTTAGTTACTAATATTGATAAACATGTTGAGTTCAGAATTATGCAGGATACTGTTGCAAACGCTAAAAACATAATATTAACACACTCTAGTATTAAGTGATACTGTTAGGTCCATGATGATAGATACCAAGTCTATATTATTCATCATTACAACCCCAACCCTTAGGACAGTACCTGACATACAATAAATATTCAGATAATTGCTAAGTAAAAGACAATCCATAGTACAAGAAAGAAATGTATGTATAGATTAATCATAATCATAATACCCACAGTGCTAACCAAGTGTCATGAAACAACAAATAAGTTATTTTTGCTTGGTGAGATCTACAAAGCCTCCAAAAACTTAATGAAACCAAAGCTAAGCTTTTAAAGACAAATAATTCAACAGACTTGGAAGCAATGAGGTGGTGAGAGGGAGGGTAGAAGAAATTAGATAAAAGACTGAAGGCTAGAAAATACGTGGTATTTCTATTGAATTTTTAAACATAGGCTTACCTATCGTCGCTGCAAGTTCTGGATCGAAAGTATCATCTGTGAACCTCAAGAGCAGGCTAAAAGAGATGTTTAAAAGACAGATTAGAAATTTGTCTTTTCTCTAACCATTTGGCAAAACATTCATGATTATATTTTGTCACAAATTAGACACAGGTAAGAATAGCTGATGTAGGTCTGCTCACAAGAATAATGCCTCACTGCAGAAATACAGAGAGGAATTAAATTATTGGAAGGCAATAAAAGAATCCCAAGAGCAAAGAAGTTTCCTTAATATATTTCCCATACTCCTCTACACAATTCTCAAGTGTGAAAAGATTTCGGTTTCACTGTGCCTGGGTGGCTCGGTCTGTTAGGCGTCTGACTTCGGCTCAGGTTATGATCTCAAGGTCCTGGGACCCAGACCCAAGTGGGGTTCTCTGCTCAGCGGGGAGTATTCTTTTCCCTCTTACTCTTCCTCTGTACTCTCCCTCTCTCTGTCACTCTCTCTTCTCAAACAAATAAAATTAATAAAAAAAAAAAGATTTAGGCTTGATTTTGGTTTTTAACTATAAATGTATCCTTGTGAGAAAATAGTAGCAACACATCATACTGTAATGTGGATGAAAGGGGAGAAAATAAGTCTCTTGGAATGCAACAAGCTAATTTTTTGTTTAAAACTGATGTATACTCCACTCTGAATTCAAGTATAAACAGAAAGCTGCAGACTGATAAACAGAAAGGGTAGACTGACCAAACAATAGATAGCCAGAGTAAGTATAATCTGGCAAATGCTAGGCAGGGTGAATGAAAAAAGTAGGCAATAGGGAGCTCCCGAAAGCTTTTTCTAAAAAAGATTTCTTAAAAAATAAAAAATTAAAAAAATAAAGAAAGAAAGAATTCTTGACAAAAACTGTTCATTTTAATGCCAGCAAGAAAATTAACAAAAGACAACTGCCATGGTTATGGTGAAAGATAAGAAGGACTAAACCTAAGAAATGATAAAGAAACTAGAAAGAGATGAGAGATGAAATAATAGCAAAAGACACATATGAGTACTCTAAGATTTCATATCTCCCAGAATTATTTATTTATTATAAGGCAGAAGGGTCAGTTATTAGAAGCTATTCAAAAATACAATCTAAGCTTCTGTTAAAGCCCTAAATTTATAAAATTAATCCATCTTCCCTCACATTATCTCCTACAATAGGACAAAAGACTGTTCTATCGACCTGTATGCATTAATAAAATCAAGGAAATAGCTATCAGATGTCTGAAATGAAAAAAAAAAAAGTATGAATTTTTGTTGCTAGAGGGTTTTCTTTGTCCAGAGTATACTGCAACACATAATGGCCTTTTGGTATCCAAAAGCCGGTGTCTGGGACACCTGGGTGGCTCAGTGGTTGAGTATCTGCCTTCCTAGAGTTCCACATCGGGCTCCCTGCATGGAGCCTGCTTCTCCCTCTGCCTATGTCTCTGCCTCTCTCTGTCTCTCATGAATAAATAAATAAAATCTTAAAAAAAAAAAAAAAAAAAGCTGGTGTCATTAATTGTATTGAAGGGTTAACTCTCCCTTTCTTGGTTTTGCTTTCTTGTGTTTTCAATGAAACCAGCATCATAGAAGTAAAATAGATTTTCTACTTAACATTGAACCCTCTTGATTATAACTTTGCTTACTTCCAATATGAGTTAGGTGACTGCACTAACAAGAATCTTAAGACTGCACTTGTAAAAATGTTCTCCCCAACATTAAGTTTTTAAATTCATAAAAGTGAAGATTTCGCTAAAAATTTAGTTACTCGTATTTTAAGAATGGAAAAGGTATGTATCCATACTCAGTTACTACAAAGACTCAGTTACAAAAACAAAAGAAACTTGCAGAGTACTACTAGTAGTAAAAATACCAGAATAATAAAATAACAATGGTATTGGCTATTATTTATTGGACAGTAACAACGTGCCCCACGTTTGAACCAGCGGTTCTTCTTACATAATTGCTAATCCTTACAATAACCCTTGTCATTAAAGGTACTTTGTCAGAAAGCCAGGGAACTGATATGGTACAAAACAACAAATTTTAATACCAGCTCTGAATATACGCAGGTCATGGCAAGGGATACATTGTTAGCTGGAAATGTATTCTAAGCTCTATGTTAAGCTTCTTCCTAGGCAGAGAGTCTACTTCTCTATTAGACTTTTTAAAAAGACTCCACAACCAGAAAATGATTAAGAACCAATGCTATTTACGCGTTCATATTTTCAAAGTTAGAGGAGAAAAATACTCTCCGTGCAGAGCTATAGATGGAAGGAGTAACTACCAGTTAGAGGAAATCAAATTTGTAATAAATAGTGCGATCATAACTAGTCTGCATTTCTTAATTTACAAATGAAGTTGGCCAAAAAGGATGGAGATACAGAGACATAGGAGGGACAGCAATTTAGGTAACAGAAGGTCTCTATAACCTTCCAGTTTCTTTTTTTTTTTTTTAAGATTTTATTTATTTATTCATGAGAGACACACACAGAGAGAGGCAGAGACACAGGCAGAGAGAGAAGCAGGCTCCATGCAGGGAGACCGATGCGGGACTCGATCCAGAGACTCCAGGATCATGCCCTGGACCAAAGGCAGATGCTCAACCACCGAGCCAACCGGGCGTCCCAACCTTCCGGTTTCTGAAACACTTTGCTAGTTCTTTACTTCACCATGGCTCAAAGCATCTTATACATTTAACATTAGATAAGGTTTGAGGGATTTCTATTCCAACCTCATTTTTCAAACGAAGAAATGAAGGCCTAGAGCATTCAAGTATCACACAGGTCACATAAGTGGCAGCACCAGTTTCATAATCCGGATCTCCTGTCTGCTACCACACACGCTGATCACACTCCAACAGTCTGAAATAAACTGGAAAAATAACCTACTAATTTGAATTAGTTAGGCTGTCGGGCAGCCTCGGAGGCGCAGGGGTTTAGCGCCGCCTTCAGCCCAGGGCCTGATCCTGGAGACCAGGGATAGAGTCCCGGGGCGGGCTCCCTGCATGGAGCCTGCTTCTCCCTCTGCCTGTGTCTCTGCCCCTCCCTCTCTCTCTCTCTCTCTCTCTCTCTCTGTATCTTTCATGAGTAAATAAAATAAAATATTTAAAAAATATATCCTTTGTCATGCAACAATACAAATGATATTTCACTTCCATTAAGTCCAGATCTGTAAAGAAATATAAACTTATTGGTCAGAACAATTCTTAAAGACTACATCCACAACAAATGTTTTTGTACTAACTTAAAAAGCACAGGCTTCTATCTTAGTAGAGTCATTTGTTCTCCGGGTACCCAGAAAGAATAAGTATTCAAGGTTGTTTTCCATAGCACAGCACAAGCACCAATAATGCATATCTAGCTAGAAAAACAAGCCAACTTTCTCCCTGAACACAACCCTTTCTTGAAAGAGGTAAAGGTGTTAAAATTTGGCAGTGAGCAGCTGAAAATTCATTAAGTACTGAGAAAAGTTTGGAGCAGATTAGATCCAAACATGTTTGTCTGAGGGGAGGGAACTAAGGAATCCAATAAATCCACTTAGCACATCTTACGCTAGAGGAAGAACCTCAATTATGTAAACATTCTATTAACCTTCCAGAAAATTTTAACACAACTTAACCAGTCATCCACCCGATACATTTAGGAAAATGTTGCCTACCAAAAACAGTATTGGGTTGAACTATATGAAATGACAGTCAACCCATTCTTGACTTCAGAATCAGCAATTTCATATGCCTTAACCTACATGAGTCACATCTCAAGAAAAAAAAGATCACAGGGCTATAGAAGTCCTATTAAGACAATGTTCAATATGGCAACTTTTTAATCCCAAATATAATAGATGGTGATCGTGAAAATTACTCAGTCCTTTAAATAATGCACACACACACTCCCCACACTACTATACTAGTAGCCCACAGTAGTATAGTAGTACTATACTATTAATTTATTAGTATAATAAATTATTCATTAATTTATTCCTTGTTATGTACAGATCTTTCACTCCAAAATATGCTGTACTTAATATATTTAAATGAGAAAAATTAGAAATATTTTGTCATACTTTAAAAATACATAAAATTGCAAAAAGAACGTATTACACAATAAAATCTGAAATCCTTACGCATCTAAAAAAGTAAAACTTGATGAAGTGATTTGAACTTCTGGAATTGAATACTGTTTACAAACCAGGACAGCCTCGACTACTAGGATTAATAATAATAATAATAATAATAATAATAATAATAGGGGATCCCTGGGTGGCTCAGCGGTTTAGCACCTTTGACCCAGGGTGTGATCCTGGAGACCCGGGATCGAATCCCACGTCGGGCTCCCGGTGCATGGAGCCTGCTTCTCCCTCTGCCTGTGTCTCTGCCTCTCTCTCTCTCTCTCTCTCTCTCTCTCTCTCTCTCTCTCTGTGTGTGACTATCATAAATAAATAAAAATTTAAAATAATAATAATAATAATAATAATAATTGCCAGATGGCAAGGGTAACTTTACCTGGAGAACTTTGTTCCAAGGCTTGAGTGAAATCACAACCCGCCTGCAACACCCACTGCTCGAGCTCCACTGCTCTTACCTGATCTCAACTCGAACTCCTGCCAATTATAATTTTCCCTCAAGAAACAGCCACGAAAAGAAACAACATACTAATTTGTTCCTCGACCTCTCTGTGCTGTGGCAGAATGCGGAGTAAAACAATTACCCTTTGAGCTCAACGGTGGTCCCCGCTTAAACTCACAGCATCTTGGACTACAGTGACTTACGCCAGGAGTCAGAAGACCAAAGGGCTCTTTCACAAGCGGACTCCGGAAAACACGGGGGGTGGGGCACCCAAGTAGGCCAGGAATGTGACCCAGGGCGTCACGAAACTTCCTGTGTGGAACACTACGTACTCAGAGAAAGCCTGACAGAAATCAAGGGACTGAAGTTTCGACTCCACTCGCGGGCTGACGGCGAGCCTGAACCCCCCTGCCCCGCCCGCGGCCAGTCCAGACCCGGGCCCACACCCGCCCGCCGCGCCCGAGGCTGCTCGGCAGCGAACCCGCCGGCCGAGCCGAGCGGCGGCCCTCGGAACTGTTCTTCATCTGGTACAACAGGAGGGGAAACGTATCCAGACGAGTCGGGCCCGCCAGAGGCCGACACCGAGGCGGCGAGGCGGCGAGGCGGGCGCGGCGGGGGCGGGGGGGGCCGGGCCGGGGCCGCGGGGGGCCGCGCCGCCGACAGGCCTGGGAGCACGCGCCGAGCCCGCCCCGCGGCCCGCACCGGCCGCTGCCTCTACCGTTCCCGAGCGGCCCAGCACGCAGCCGCCACGGCGGCAGAAAGCCCGCTGCCCTCGTCACCGCCCGCAGGCCCGCCTCACCTGGACTTGCCCACGCCACTCTCGCCGATGATGAGGATCTTCAGGGTAGTCAGCACGTCCTCGTCCATCCTGACCCTGCTCCGCTCTGAGCCCAGCCGGCCACCCGGGTCCGGTTCTCAACCCTTCCCCCCGGGAGCGGTGCCCGCGCATGCGCAGCGCTGCGCATCTGCCACCTTCCTTCCGACCCGGGCTAGTTAGGTTGCACAAGCCCCGGTCTCCCCAGTTCCGCCTGGAGGAAGCTCTGCGTCTGCGCAAACTCAGAGCCTCCGGCGTCTTTGCGGAGTGATTAATCAGCCTTTGCGCAAGCGCAGATGGGAAGCCCCGCGTGTGAGTTCCCCTCCTCTTGCAGGCTGTCGCTCCTGCCCTGCCCTAACCTGACCTTGCTTCGCTGGTGTTACTTGGGAGAGGACTGAGTTGGCAGAGCGGGACGCTTTTATTTCAGCAGCTACTCCTAACAGCTGCAATATACTTCTGTTACTCCATATCGTATCGTCACCGTAAACATGTACGCTTTAGCTGGGCCTGCAAAGTGTTATTTCCTCGACCACCAGTGCCCAGTGATCTAGGAAAAGAAGCCCTGATTCATCTGGTTGTTTGAAGCTTTGTCTCTTACCCACCAACAAGCCACAAAGGAAGAAAAATTTACTTTCGGGAACAGTGATTAAATGGATACGCTATTCCAATACTTGCATTAAGCTCATTTTCACTACTGACTACAATGCTCTAGATATTTCATCTTGATTATGATCCTTTCAGTTCAAAAATCCAAGTAAACATTCCGATATTTGAACATAGAGTGGAGAGGATAGCAACGATTCAAGGTAGGCCATAGATTTCCTTGGAGACATATTGAATGAATAGCTGATATTTAGAGCAAATGGTAAAAAGACCATGATGTCAATAGCCACCAACTTCAATTACCAAAAACCAGGAAGAGAAAAGCTAACAAAGGATCTCAAAAGAAAATATAGTGTTGGAGGTATTTTTTTATTATAAAGTTAGTTGTGAGTTATTAATCAGTGTAGTCTGAGAATCTAAAACCTAGATAAACCTGCTATAGATAGATTTCTTTGTCTGTACTACCTTTGCCAAGTATGGGTTTGCTGGCTTCATAAAAATGAATTAGAGAATGGTCTGCATTCTGTTATCTAGAGGAGTGTGGAGAACTGCCTTAAATTCAATTTAAACTTAAGTCTTCCTTAAATATTTGGTAGAATTCACCTGTGAAACCATCTAGGACTGGGGCTTTATTTTTGAGAAGCTTATTTAATATTGATTTAATTTATTTAGATATTGGGTGGAATTAGTGTTACTTCTTCTTTACCTATTTGGTAGAATTCACCAGTAAAACTATTTGAGGTTGGAGAATTTCAAAAGAATTTTAACCAAGAATTAATTATTTTAAATAATTACATATATATGTATATATATAAAACTGTATATATGTACATACAGTTATATCATTATATATTCAGGTTATCTATTTCACCTTTAGTCAGTTTAGGGAGTTTGGGTTTTTTTTTAAGATTTTATTTATTTATTCATGAGAGACACAGAGAGAGAGAGAAAGACAGGCAGAGACACGGGCAGAGGAAGAAGCAGGCTCCATGCAGGGAGCCCGACGTGGGACTGGATTCTGGGTCCCCAGGATCACACCCTGGGCTGAAGGCTGCGCTAAACCGCTGAGCCCCCCCCCCCCCCCCGGCTGCCCGAGTTTGTGTTTTTTAAGGAATTAAATGAGTCTATTTCACTAAGCTGTTAAATTTATATAAGTAGAGTTATTATCCTTTTAACGTATCCAGTATACAGTGTTTCCCCCTCTTTGTTTTCCTTGAAAAGAAACAAGGGGACTAAATTTCACACTCACTCTGAGCTTAGAAGCTATGTTTTCCATTTAACCAAAGGACTTCTCCTAGAACTTTCTTTCTGTGCCTCATTGCCCACTTCTGGTACATTGAACTGAGGCCAGGAAATTTTGAAAATAAAAAGAATGATAAATACAGCTGCTTTAGTGGTATTTCAAATCCTAGTCTTCTTTCCCAGGCCATATGCTATTTACTTTTCAGAATCCTTAAATAGTTGCTCCACACATTTTTTCCAGGTTGTATAACTTCATTCAGTGGGAGAGAAGAAGTGGAGTATATGCATTATTTTTTACCTAAGAGCAGATACTTTGACCAGTTCCTTTTGAGTTTTGGCATTTCTGGCCCTCTGGCACACTCAGGACTAGATCTATTGAGTAACATGTCAAAAGCTCAAACGTCAGCAGATGCCTTTCATTAGTGTATTTAAAACATAACGATTTATTTTATGATATACTATTCACAATCCTTGATACACATAGAGATCATTGTCAGGGCTCATCCCATACTATTCTCAGCCAAGTTGTATTGTCTGTCAAAGGAGTATCCATTTAAGAATAGGCTGCCTGCCTTCACCCACCAATGATGAGCAGCCTAGCACCACCTCAAAATCTCTCACCCTGCTGCTCTCACCTAAGTATGCTTACGTTAAGTATGTCCATAGTTCAGTTCCAGAATGCCAAGAGGTTTTGACAGATACACAACATGGCACGCCTGGGCCCCTATCTGACTCTCTTCTACAGAGAGGACTCGGGGCTTCCCTATTCTTGGTGCTATGGTATCAGTGCCCTATGGGTACCAAGCCAGCTGGCTGGAACCTGCTTCTGGCTTCATTCCTGCCAGCCTCATTTCTTGGGGGCTGTATCTTATTCTTTTTATGTTCTGAGATAATTCTTAGAACAACCTGGGTCTGTATCTAATACTCCCACTGTCCCCATTCCAAAGCAAGCTTGTGTCTGTCCTCTTCCTTGAGATCAGGTTCTCTTTATTCATAAACTGAACTGAATCTGTCCACTTTTATTAGTTTTGGTCTTTTATGGCTAGAATATTTTTCCAAGCTTCTATCTATGGTACTTTTTATAACTGCTTTCTCCATTAATGCATTGACTTAGCATTTCATTAAAAAATAATAATAAGTAATAGTGAGAGCACTGTTTTTTCTTGTTCCCAATTTTAAGGGGAATAGCTATAGAGTTCCACCTATTGTTTGTTATTTCCCATAACTTATCAATGCAATGTATTATATTAATGAATTTTTGCTATATTATTCTATACTGAGATAAATCTTGATTGCTTTTGGCAAATTATTCTGGCAAATTATTCTTTTATACACTGTTCAGTTATATTCTCTGGCACATTATTTATGAGTTTTCATATATAAATATATTCCTCAGTGAGACTGAAGATATATTTCCTGTAAGTCACTTTCACTTAGAGAAATTAATTAGTTAACTATTATTTTTTTGAGAGAAAGAGAGAGCAAGCACAGTGAAGAGGAGTGGAGAGAGAGAAAATCTCAAGTAGGCTCCACACCCAGCACAGAGTCCAGATGTGGGGGATGATCTCATGATCCTGAGACCACGACCTGAGCCAAAATCAAGAGCTGGAGGCTTAACTGACTGAGCCACTCAGGTGCCCCAATTCTGAATTATTTTAAACACTCAGATCAGAGTAGAGAATAATATAATGAACATCCAGTTTTATCAAATATGATAAGCATCATAATTTAAGCGTTTTCCATGGAAAGCATTAAACATTGCAGATTTGAAACAACATGTGTGTGCTCCCACCAGATCCCAACTACAACCCAGCGATAATTACTGTCACAAATTTAGTGTTTATCATGCCCATACATGACATAAGATTTTTACTACCTAGTTATGTATCCTTAAACCTATTTTATAGATTTTTTTAACTTGATAATTTTATCAAATTACACAGGGACTCAACACAACTTGACATTTTCATTCAGTGTTGTTTTAGAGATTTACTTATGTTGTGAGACATAGCTATAATTCATTTAAAGTGCTGTATTATAAATTCCATAAAACTATTATTCACCATTCTCTCTCTGATGTTTGCAGCATTTGGCTAGTATGTCTTCTTTTCCCTTAAGCTAGACTGAGTTTGCATTTCCTTTACTTGCCAACCAAAGGGTCCTAACTGACACATTCAAGAAACCTCTAAAAGTACCCCATACAGACCTCTCTTCAAGATGTCTAAAATCCCAACTATCAGCATCAATCTTGGTTAAAGCATTACTTTTGGAGGGATCTCATAAACTAAAGGTATTTTCTAGGAACCAAAGATGAACTCATGACATTTTGCATAGAACTGGAACCATTGCTACTTTGGTAGCTATCTCTTAAAAAGAGAGAGAGAGAGAGAGCCTTAGGTGGAGAATAGTACATAGCTCTCTTCTTGTGGGATTATGAAGGAGGAAAGCAAGCCTGAACTGGGTGGTAATTGGGAGAAATTCTGAATTCAGATTTGGCATAAAAGTACCAGGCCACTAGACCTGAGAAGGTCTAGCAGCTTATCTTACAGGAAGACAATGTTCTCTATGAAAGGCCACAGGGTCTAATCAGACAGACCTGGTTTCAAAGCTTCATGACGAGAGGCAAGCCATTCAAGTTTTTAAGCCCTGATTTCTTCATTTGTAAAACGACATGAGTTATACCTACCTTTAATGGTTAATTATATAACATGATGAACATACAGTGACTGGTGAACAGCAGATCCTCAATAATGATGGCTATTATTATTGTTATTATTATTAATTCAGCCAATCCCATCAGTAAGGACTGCCATCACAGATAATGACTCCCTAGGGATTTTACTATGGAAGGATGAGTTGAGGATTATTTGCCTGGGGCCCTGTTTCAAAGCTGGAGCTTCAAGTTTATCAAGGGGTACACTTTTCTTTCCAGGAAAGACATCTCTTGGAAGTTTAGAGTTTGGAGCGAATTATACAGTATGACATCCATTCTCCTACCCTCCAAATATTAGATTAGAAGGAACACAGAGAGACAGCTCTTCATGTGACACCCCACCCCCCACCCCCGGCATGGTGACAGGTCGCCTCTAATATCTTCTCAAGTCACTGTGCATCCTGTAGTTATTGCATCGTTCAAGTGGTGGAAGCCAGATGCAGTTCCAAGGAAGATCTTCTGGACACAATACTTTCTAGGGGGAGAGAAAAAGCCAGAAAAAGCAAGCACGTGATGACATTGATAGAAAACAGGGACTAGGGATCCCTGGGTGGCTCAGCAGTTTAGCGCCTGCCTTTGGCCCAGGGCGCGATCCTGGAGACTCGGGATCGAATCCCACGT